TGGTCATATTTCACGGTTACGGCGGACTGCTATTTCTGAAGAGATGATGCCGTGTATATATGCCATAAAAGGGTGCCACATTGACGGAAGATACATCGGATCATTTTACTAATATTTCTAGTATCGTGTTGTGACGTGGTTAATTTATGAAAAGTGACGAACGAATGCGAGTCAGATAACACTGAGAGTTAGAGAAAATTCTTTAAAAAACATTCGATAAATATTCGCTATAAGTGATGGAAGATATATAGATTTCTGCGAGGGTGGTGTTTATCCACGTGGAAATGAGATAAGCGTACCGAGTTCCAATGCAAGTCAAAAGCGTTGTATACTTTTTTTTCTAAAAATTACAGTTAGAATACCGTGAATCCATCTTTCCCAACAGTGAGCAGTTTATATAAGGACAGAGTAGATTCTCTAGCCTTGGTTGGTGATCTGTCTAGGAGAAGAACATCTGTAAAGAGGTGAGATAATATTATCACACACCAACGTTCTTTATTTACAAAAGAATCGTGCCTGCAGATGGACATGTGTTCTTACCTCCTGTTTAGCATTTTGGCATCTCCAAGATCACTAGCGGTTCGACCACACCTAATTTACATCTATTTTTCTTTCTGCTAAGATCATTAAATTATTATGATGCATAATGTGTGTTGCTACGCATGAAAGAGGAGGTGGCAACATGAAAAGATTATAAGGATAAAAAGGATAGATAACGATTCTCTTTTGATTTGACTAGGCTAAGATATTATTGCGTCTGACAAGCTTTTATGTGGGAGTTATCTGGGAATAATTCGCAGAGTGCAACGTTTTTCATAGATTAGGAATATGAAGAAAATGTGAGTTTTTCGATTCCGTCAAAATAGCATGACGTTTCCTAGCTGTAAATGCCTGAACTGGTTGAACTAAAGAATGTAGCTCGTCTGAACATTTGCCAAAGAGATAGTGGAATGATAGTGATATACTTTCAATGTTGCGTCTGTGGAAAGGAGACTGAAGATTAGAGATTAAATATTCCTCCTGCAAGACCATGCAAACCATCCTCAACCGTATTAAGCCTGGAAAGTGAGGATTGTATAGATCCAGTCCAAATATAGCATTTCTATTCCCTTTTTGATCTAAAGTGACTTGTAACCATAAAGTATAGCATAATGAGTCTTATATTTCAGCAGTGTCTTTACCAATCGTATTCGATTCACTTGATATCAGGTGTGCAATTGGGTCTTAACAGACGTTCAAACATGACAATTTTTTTTTGGATGTTGCTACGGTTCAGAGTGACTTGAAAAAATTCAGGTTCTGGTTGGCAAGTATGAATCGATATTAGTTTGTTTTTTGAGGCATGAAATGTAACAAGCCAGATTTTTTTCCCGATTGAGCTGTTAATTTAGATTCGTGGTGAAATTAGATGAATGACTCTGAGGATCTTGTATTTTACAAGTGCTTCTGGAAAGAATTTATTGACTCAATGTTGGAAGAATTCTTTCATGATAGAATGGGCGAGATTGCTGAAAACTGACAAAAAGAACCTATTTAGGACAATTAATCTTGCAACAAATTTATAGAAAGAAGATTTAATCACAAAATGCAGGAAAAAATTGCACCAATCTAATATGTGTTATAAAGTAGTATAACTGCTACTCATTATCATATGTATTAAATGACAGCATATTAACAAATAAATACCATTAAACATATCCTTATTTACATAAGTATATATCACTTTATGTATCAATGTGTAGATGGTGTTTGCGTACATTTTCACAGGCGTCATAGTTTGTTTAGCAGGTTCATGTCATAGGTAGGATAACAATGATGATTTTCAAGACTTATTGATCTCATCCTTTTAGAATAGAATCTTGATAGATTTACTTATTTACTTCCATACGAAATACTTATCTATACACACACACACACACACACACACACATTATATATATATATATATATATATATATATATATATATATATATATATATATATAAAGAGAGGGAGAGTGAAAGAGAGGGAAAAAGAGAGAGCAAGCAAAAGAGAAACGTGTATCATCCTGTTTACGTGTTTTACAGGCCGTCTTCCCCGTAGGCGTACAAATATTTTCTATAGCTATTCCTGAGCAGACAAATCCGCCCTTGTTCCCGGATACAAAAAGGGACATATTTTATGAATTGCAGATCTTGATGAAGCTCGCCTTTCCTTTTTTTATCAGTTGAGGCTGTCAAAGACTTCTTTACATTTCAAAAAGGACGAAAGAGTATTGATAAAAATCGTTTGTAAAACGTAAGGCTTTTGTGGTGAGATTTAATTTCTTTAAAACAGAAAAGCGCAGGTCCCTGATTCCCTTATCTTTCTAAGATATTTTTACCTTTTTTTTTTCAGAACTGTGATATTGGTAAATTCTTGTATGTCAGTAAAAGAATGATTCGCTTGTTTTGGCTGCAGATAACGCATTTTAGGAAGCTTTGGATTTCTTGAATTTTCTTTGGAATATTTCCTCACAGAGGAAACGGTACCAGCTCATATCTTTTTGATACAAATGAAAATTAGCGGATAATGACCTTGATCTCTTAAGTAACTAGTAAAATATTCTTATAGGAAACAGAGTAAAAACGTACACTTAGAGACTCAACTATATTATATTCACACACAGGATAGATAGATAGATAGATAGATAGATAGATAGATAGATAGATAGATAGATAGATTGTCACGAAGCTTTTTCTTTAATCTTACAAACATTAACAGAAACAGTAATACAGACATATACAAACGACAGTGTTACAGCAAGAATGTCCTGTCCGATTTTCAGAGCTGACTGCTAGAAAAGTTCCTCTCTAAAAGGCAGTACCTGCTCCTACTTATATTTGAGAGAGTCCATACATGCGTGGGTAAATTACCATTACAATACATATATATATATATATATATATATATATATATATATATATATATATATATATATATATATATATATGTGAAAAGTGAATATAAATATAAATAAATATATATATATGTATAATTATTTATATATTATATGCGCGGTACTTCCACAATAACACCAATACACGCAATCTACATAAACCCAAATTTTTAAAAACATTAATCAGTTTGTCTGACGATCGCTAAAGCGTGAAACCCAGGGTCACAAACTCACATCTATCCAACCAAATATATAAATATATATATATATATATATATATATATATATATATATATATATATGAACTTATTGCTGGTATTTTTACGATAAAAATGTATTTTTGCACATTCATAGTGTTTGTTTTTATTTGTATGGGGATTCATTATTTGCTCCTATCTGGGACCCTAACAGTTAACCACATAAATTGCACTTTTTGCTTACACTTATGTCAAGACCTTGTGGAGGTTGTGTTAATGGATTAAATTATATTGATCAAAAATTGTTGCGTAATTTAGGCTGCGTGATGAAATTAACAATTTCCTCTCACATTAAATTTTAGTATTCAACAAACATACAATAAAGACAACAGTTTTTGCACAACAATGAATAAAATATTTATATAAACAAGAGATACAAGAACAATTGGAGTAAAGAGGTGGGTTTAAAAAGATCAAACTTCCTTTTATGTTTAGATGAAAAGTTATCAAATTTCTGGTTTTGATAGATTATCATTTGTTGAATGGTCTTTACAATAATGAGAAAGTGTATTTTGGTATTGTAGCAATTTCAGAAAAAAAATAAACAGTAAAAGTTTGTATTTGAAATAGAGAATTATTGTTTACGACTTACTTTAAGGTTTACGGAATTGTTGCTCTTTGATTTGTTTTCACATGTTCGAAGAGAATATTCTAGTTAAGGTAAGTGGTTCTTAACAATCTGTGTTTATGTTAATTGCAATAGTTAACGTTGAGATTGAAAGCGTATGAAACAGATTCGTGTATTAAGTTGAATGTGGAAAACTTGAGTTGATTTTTCGTCATAAAATATTGCTGTGTTAATGAGTGTTCTCTCAGGTTGGAATCATGTTAAGGAACTTTAATGTAAAGCTTGGAACTGTATGACGAGTTCAAAGGAACGGTGCACTGTCGAAGATGAAAAACGTTTCATATTTTATTGCTAACATTGGTCACATGATAGGCTCACAGAAGCTTGATAGATTTTGGCGGAATTATCTTTTTTGGTCAGGTCAAGAACTAGGTCTATATTATTAAATATTAAGTGACCAATAAGAAGTTGAGATTTTCTGAAAATATACATTAAGCTGAATAAGCTCTGTAATCCGCTTTTTTGTACGAAAATTGATATTGATAAAAAAGGTGGTAGCGGGATGCTAAAATCTCACTTAATAACCCTCTACCTAGAGTTGATTCCAGTTCTTGTCACGGCTGAACATTAGTAAAAGAAAAAAAGGGACGGCGGGTTTTAGTCCTTGCAACTTTGATTTGAATCTCAATATCCTGCCGCCTCTTCAGTCTCTATCCTGAACTAAAAATAAACTACCTTCGCTATCAATAACGATATATTCGGGGATTTTCTTTTTCTATATTCCAAATGTTTGCTTCAGAAAATCTCCGTGATAGTAGAAAACTTGCTTCGATATTTTTTCATTCGCCAATTATAAGTGTTGTAGATATAAATCGGTCAGTTATCTGATGAAAAAGTCGTCTAGAAAATATAAGCAGAATATACTGACCAGATTTAACTGACATTTAATGAACCCTTGTCAAATCCACCCTAAAGTGAAAGATACATTGCATGAATGCTTCTCTTATCTCGAGGTGAGTGTGAAACAGCAAATGCTTTAATAACTTATTACTGGGATCGAGCATTTGCGAAATAATATTAATAAAATAGACAAAACAAGAGAATAAGTAAAAATCTACCGCAAGCAGAATTGATCCGTGGAAGAAGGCAGGAAAAATCATGTCACTCAGTGTGAAATCTGTTTTATACAAGGATTGGTCTGAAGTAGTGAATGTATCAATCTGTTTTAATAACTGTACACACCCTTGGTTATTCAATATGTCTGAATTATCTCTCCATGTACGACTTCCGACATTTTTTTTAATAACTTTTTCTCTTTCTTTCTTGATTCCTTTCTTTCTTACTTACTTTCTTTCTTTCTTTTATTTTTTCTCTACGCTTCTTTTTTTAAATTACTTTCCATCGTTTGTGACTTCATTTATTTTCTCTCTTTTTTCTTTCATATGTTTGTTTTCTGTTTCTTTTAGAATTTTTCGTGTTTTTTTTCTCTTTTTTCTTTCCTTTCTTTCTTTGTTTCTTTTTCTCTTCGTTTCTTTTTGTTTTTTTTAATTGTTTTACATCGTTCCAGTCTTCATTTTTGTTCACCCTTTACATCTTTCAGTTGTTTGCTTTCTGTTTCTTTTGTACTTTTTCCTATTTTTTTCGTCCTTTCTTTCTTCCTTTCTTTCTTCATTTCTGCGATTCTTTCTTTCTTTCTTTTCAATTTTCCTTTTAGTTTTCGTTTTCGTCTTTTTCATTCTGTTTATTTTCTGTTTGCTTCCTTTCTTTTATATCTTTTGGCATCTTTCATTCTATTGCGATTTTTTTATTTCTTTATTCTTCCAATTATTGGTTTTGTCTTCTCTTCCTATAATTATATCTTTCTCTTTACTCATATAATTATATTTTTCTTTCTTTTTCTCTTTATTACTATAATTATATTTTTCTTTCTTTTTCTCTTTATTCCTATAATTATATTTTTTTTCTTTTCTTTTTTCCTATAATTATATCTATTCCTTTATAATAATTATTTTTCTTTCTTTTTCTCTTTATCCCTATAATTATATTTTTCTTTCTTTTCTCTTTATTCCTATAATTATATTTTTTTTTTTTCTTTTTCTTTCTATTCCTTTAATTATCTTTTTCTTTTTTCTCTTTCTTTTCCTTTATTTATATAATTTTCTTTCTTTTTCTCTTTATTTCTATAATTATATCTTTCTTTCTTTTTCTCTTTATCCCTATAATTATATTTTTCTTTCTTTTTCTCTTTATTCCTATAATTATATTTTTCTTTCTTTTTCTCTTTATTCCTATAATTATATCTTTCTTTCTTTTTCTCTTTATCCCTATAATTATATCTTTCTTTCTTTTTCTCTTTATTCCTATAATTATGCCTTTCTTTCTTTTTCTCTTTATCCCTATAATTATATTTTTCTTTCTTTTTCTCTTTATTCCTATAATTATATCTTTCTTTTTCTCTTTATTCCTATAATTATATCTTTCTTTTTTCCTCCTTTCTTGTTTTCTTGCGTTTTTCCCTTTTTTCCACGAATTTATATTGTTTTTCCTGACGTAATTCTTTTTTACTTGCTTTCTTCTTCCTTTTCTAGCTTTCTTGTCTTCGACATTTTTTCGCTTTTTGTTTTTCATTCTGTTTCAATATTTCTATCTTGTTTACACCATTTTTTTCTTTTTTTCTATCTTCTTCCTTTCATTCTTTCATTCTTCCTTTCTCTCTTTTTTCTTTCCTACTTGTTCGATTTTTCCTTCTTTCTTTCTTTCTCCATTTTTGGCTCTTGGCTATTTTCTTCCTTTCCTTCTTTTAATTAATTTCCACTTTTCCTCGTTTCTTGCTTTCACCATTTTTTTTTTGACTTTTTGCTATCTTTTGCCTTTCCTTCCTTCTTTCTTTTTTTTTCTTTCTTTCTTTCTTTCTTTCTTTTTCGATTTTTCTTTTTTAAAACTTCATTTTTTATCTCTTTTTTTCTTTTCTTACTTTCAAAGCATTTTTATTTTTTAGTCTTTTTTGATTCACCTTATCTACTATAATTATATCTACTTTCTTTCTTTCGTTTTTCCTTACAGACCCAAATTCCTATTCTACCTAAAGTTATCCTCCATCACTCGCTCTTCTCCATCACTCTATCTCTATCTCTTATTTTTCTTTCTCTTTTCTTTGCCTGCTTATCATTTCCCTATACCTATCATTATTCACTCACTCTCATTTCACCGTTTCCATCTATTCACTCTTATTCCTTTTCTCTTTAGATCTTACTGTTTCTCTCTCCTCTTTTTCGTTATTAACTTTCCATCTCCCATCATCCTATTCTCATTTCCGCCTTTTCCTTCCGCTCTTCCCTCCATTCCTAATAACATTTCCAAGCATCTACTCTGTACTACTTTGCAACATACACCATAACCTTTCAGCAAAAGATCTTCTATTCTAATGTTGCTTAGCAACACAAATTCACATCCACCTTGTCTTTGAAATGTTTCCTGGGAAAGAAAACATTCAACTTATCTTTGGGCCGACATATCATTTTTATTAACCGCCCAGTCAACCACTTCATCTACCAAAATACTTACCTCGCTTACCCATCACCACTTAACGGCACTAACGTTTTACGGTTGCATCGAAGCTACTTACCTGCAGGGCTACCGAGTTACCTGAGAAGATCTTAGCGCTGGTAGGAGTTGCGCTCGTCTATTTCAAAAGTGGTTGAAGATTTACAAGCATATATATATATATATATATATATATATATATATATATATATAATATATATATAAAATATATATATATATAAAATGTTCAAATGAAACATATATATTATATGCATGCTTATACACACACATCTATATGTCTATATATATATATAATATTCAAATGACATATATGTGTATGCCTGGATACTTATACCCACACGCACACACACACACACACATATATATATATATATATATATATATATATATATATATAGGTCTGTTTATGAGTACAAGCAAATCAATAAGTCACTATCTGATAATGATGAAAAAGAAATCATTTTTCACACACACACACACATATATATATATATATATATATATATATGTACAGCGAGAGAGAGAGAGGGAGAGAGGAGATTTACATATGACGTCTTTCTTTAATTGAAGCATGATGTTTTACCTTTATAAACAAACGTATATTTGAATAAAAAGAGACAAGCGGATAAACTATTTTTAGCTTACGCTTTTCGTCTTCTGAGGGACTTTATCAAGGCAATCTAGAATTTGGTTTGTTATGTGTTTATATACAAAAGCGAGGACGAAACTCGTCGACTAATAATATTTTTCCTCTTGCCTCTTTGTATTCATTTTATTTCTCTACAAGTACACACTATCTGAAAGTAATTTATACCCATATATATTTACATGCTAACGTGATAAAATACGATACGACATTCTTTGATAATTCATTTAGTCGTTAAAAAATTAACCTTGGTCTATTTGTCTTTATCTTATGCAATATGGTATCCGTCTGTTCACACTCACCGTTTTTAGTGTAACGGGTAGATGATAGCTAGTCATATATGGCCTTTCAATGAGCAAAGCTTTCTTATTCAAATCGAACGATTAGTTAGCTTGAACTGAAGATTCCTAACTTAAATGGCTTCTCTCACCGATAGTCACAGGTTCTAATGTCCTAGTTTCTTTAAGATCATTTTGTGTTGGAAATGTAAACTCTACAATCTCCACGGTAAATGCGTAAAAACTCACTGGCGTTAATCAGTGGTTAACATTTAATCATGCAAAATTATATTATGCTTCTGACTCGTTAGCTATCCTATCGTTTATATTTGTGCGAATTTCTTATTTCTATAGATGATACATTTAGTGAAAACGCGTGTCTTAGTGAACCACTCTGCTATTAAACAGTATATACAGTCAACTACGAAATTCTTCGTACCCATTAATTTTGAATATTTTAATCCGGTTCTCAGAATCTATGTCCAGATTTATTATATGTTAATAAGCACGATATAAAACTCAATTTTCAGAACAATAGGTTAAATAAAACAAATTTGATAGGGGAATTATGCAAAATACTTAAAGCCAAAATTATTCGCACACTATAAAAAATAGAAAAAAATGACAATCTTCACAATATTAATAGTCAGTAGCATGCCAGTTCATCTTTATAATTTGTTGCGATCGTTTTCTAAAGTTTTTGACGAGATTTGAACAAGTCTTTTCTGGCATTTTCTTCTATTTTTCAACGGTTACACGTTCTAATTTCTGAAGGAATTTGGTGACCGACGAGTTATTCAAACTTTCAATTCTTGCCATAGATTTTCAATAGGATTCAAGTCAGGACCCATTGAAGGCAATGGTAGAACTGAAAATTTCTTTTGCTGAAGCTACGCAGTCATTGACTTAATAAAAATTAATAGGTGTACGTATAATTTCGTCATTGATTGTAGGTCGATTACCTGACTTAAAATAGAGATGTCTACTCAGATGCGTGTATCCACTTAATATAACGTATGTAAAAGTAAAACATAATTTTATATCATAAATAAAATGCATTACTAATTACTTATACCAAACTAAACAACACTATTATGCATGTTAATAAAGTTTATAATAAAATTAGTATTACTATGATAGTAATATTTTCAGTGTATTTATACGTGATCAATATACAGTATAAAGTTTTTGTTCATGAAATCTATTCTTTTAAAATATTATAAATAATAACAATTTCTGAGTTTATTAGCTTTTATTATAAAGTGCAATATTTTTGTATAAATAAATATACACTATAATACAAACTATTTACACTATTTACATTATTCGATCTATTGACTTAACTTTATTGTCATGATCACGATGTTTCTGCCTACGTATGAACTGACCTTCTTCAGATGATTGGAATTTCGGACCCCACACATACATGGCGCTGTGGATAAAAGCGTTGGTTAAAGTAATCTAGTAACTTGACCCAAAGAGTTGTGAGTTCTATACCTGGACACAGCAGAAGTGAACAACAAACTTGGAGAGTTGAATTACAAAAAAGGAAAGACCAGAAACTGAAACTGAGACATCCTGAAGAGGCATGGCATGGGGAACTATGACAATATACTACGCTGGAGGAAATAAAGGGATCGATTCGAAATTCTAATCAGTTGAAGAAGTCCGGGGCGTACAACGACAGAAACATCGTGAATATGGTAACAAAGATGAGGACAACAGACCGGAACAATGTGAATAGTGTAAATGATACAATACCCCATTTCAGAAATACTGACAGAGAAATATATATATATATATATATATATATATATATATATATATAGAGAGAGAGAGAGAGAGAGAGAGGTAGGTAGGTAAATCAATAGATAGATAGGTAAATATGGAGAGTTCAGTTAAACAGCAATAACAGAGATATCCGGAAGAGTCATGGCATGTGGAACTAGATCAATCTACCCGTTGGACGACATAAAGGGTTCAATTCGAAATTCTAATCACCTGAAGAAGGCCGGGGCGTATAATGATAGAAATGTCGTGAATATGACAACAATGATGAAGAGAGCAGTTCAAACAATGAGTAAACCTCATTTCATAAATTTAGGCAGATAATAGAAATTTGTATTTGATTAAAAAAACAACACAAAGGGTTACTGAGTGTGAAAGAATATGAAAAAATAAAAGAAAAATGATTAAGGAAAGCGAACAATATGAACAAGAATTAAAAAAAACATAAGATAATGATTACATTTTCAATTTAAACTTTGAACATCAAATCTGACTGGGAAACAAGAATAGTGTTTCATGGTTGAGAAATAGAAGTAGCGAAACTATGAGCATAGAACTTCTAAGTGTTTTAACTGTAAATGATAATATTTTGATGCTAATCTATTACTAAGCTTAAATTCGTAAAGTCGAGTCAGGAGAAAGAATAGGTGTTCAGAAAAATACGCCAGGCAACGTGTTAATTCTCATTTTAAAATGCTTATTATGTTTGTCTGGTTGATATTCAATTTTTTAAGGATTTGAAAAAATAAAATTATGTTTCTATATATTTACGTGAAAATAGCACTGTTAAAAAATCGGTTGTTAAAGGTAATTACATTTCTGTCAGAAGAAGGCTTGCGTAAGCAGTAATTTGAAACCCAGCATGCACACAAGAAATTTTGTTTGCACTTTGTTACTAGAAATCGCGCAACATTTATACAAAATACCTACTAAGATCCGCTCTCAAAGATATCAGAGGAAATATATGACAGAATGGTCCATTTCAGGTTACAAAGACATCTACACAGCCAGGCTAAAAAAAACACTTTTAGAGCGACACTATTACACTTAATTATAAATTCTCTTGATGCAGATGAAGGCTTGGCGTTATAAATAGAGAGACGCATGCGCAGACTTGCAGAAGTCTTTTAACTCTTCATCTCTATTCGCGCGCAAAACAACATGCTACAAATGTGTTTCTCATTAGCTTTGGAAAAAGAGTTGTAGATAAAAGTAGATATTTAGAAAATCTACTTTTGGCACACTTTCAAAATATAGTAGTCAGATTTTTATATTCATGCGATCTATGTTCGTCTTTTCGGTGAAATCTCTCTAAAATATGTATCCAATGAATAAATGGCTACGTTACAAGTGAAATACTACACGAATCTTTAATGTCAATGTATACTTCATCCGGAAAAGGCGGCCTGTAAGATTTTTGACATGTCATAAGTTTTGTTAAAAGATGCTTCTGAAATTTTGAAGAATTTGACTATGAAAACAAACACATATCTTCGAAGGATATGGTGATAACTATGTGTTAAGTTAACCGAAGCGTGTAGAGGCATAGTTATTTGGATTGCTTGCGAAATTCAAGATCACTGTAGCAGGTGTTAAAATATTTCATGCATAATTTTCTTTTTCTTTTTTTAACCAATTCACCCCAAGCAGTGCGATAATTCCACTAAGATGCAAGAAGCTACTAGGGTGAAATAAAATGAAAATATTTTAGAAGGATCTAGAAACACCAGCCTAAACAGGAAAAAATGTTGAACTTCTACTTCTGATCTTTTCTGTGTTTTGGTCCGTAACTTTTATCGTTCCAGTATTTTCCTGACTCCTGCTATATTCGATATTTACGAAAAGGCGAATTTGAAAAGTCATGCTGCCATATGTGACAAGTTTTGCCAAACCGTGACTTGCCTGTCTTGACAGAATTCAAAAGCGTCTACACTGACTTGTGAGTGATTAATTATATTCCCACCCTAAACCTCTTTCCCCCTCTGACAAATCTTTGCAATCCTCTCGCTTTTCTATCTCTACTTCCTCATGCGCTAAATTCCTTAGTTCCAGTAGTTGTAAGCTTTGCAGCTAAGACTCTCTATGCCAGGCACACATTTCCTTCGTATTCCATTAGTAAGGAGGAAGTTTCATTCAAACAACCAATGACTGCTGCTTTTAGAAAGTGACTTTCGGCAGGATGTTTCCTTGATTAGTACAATTTCCTACATAAACTCATAAACTACACTTCCTGCTTAATATCATATGGAATCATACAGAAACCCTCTAAATTCAGAGGCTGTGGGGCCTTTTATTAGGTGAACATTAGCAAAGAATTTCTTATAGACCAGAGATGAAGATTCTCAAAGCTCAAAAGTCTTAAGCATATGACTTTGAAGAAGAAGAAAGAAAAAACATTGATTTAACGTAAATGCCGAAGAATACATTTATGCATAAAGATCGATTGAATATATGTGCGAACATATTCTAGAATTAAATGGATACAAAACACTTGAATTGAAATATAAAATATTCTACAGTTTTCTTTCAATTGTAATTCTGTTTTAGATGAGTGCATTCAATGTATTTACGATGTCTCGGTATGTGATGCCGCCATTTAATATAATCCCGCAAACTAGCAATAATGTATTTTATTTGAATGATAATCATCGCTCGTGACCAAATTCTAAATAAGTCCCGTATAGTGCAATGAATACAACAGCGATGCTGAACGAAAGAACCTCATGTTAATATCAAAAAACATCGCAATATTAAACGTCAAGGATACACATGGTTGAATGAAAGCAAAAAAACAACATCAAGTTACTTTTTTTCAGTATATATTAAAACTACATACCTTAAAGGAAAATAAGCGTATAAAATGCAGCCAGTTAAATGTGGTTATCGAAAGTGACAATAAAAAGTGATGTTATAAAATCCCACTTTTACCAGTGGATTGGGGATGTGACTTAAATTTTAGCTTACAACACAAAGTTCGATTTTTATATTAACATTTCTAGTGCGAAGGAAAGAAAATCTCCAGCCTTATAAAATTATTTTATTATATTAATGACATAAAAACTTTTTCATTACGATATTGTTTCAACACCGAGTGAGGCTCAGAATTCACTAGACATGAATTCACTAGACATGAAATATTCTTCAAGATTAGCAGTTATCTATGTGAAAATTGGAATCATCTGCATTTACATGGTTCTTGGAAAAGGCACAAATAATTAAATAGCCGACTGGGCTTTTAGCCTAGGGTGTCAACCAGTGTAGGAGAAGAAACTTCTCCAATTATAAAACTTTTATTCCTCCATGTTTCAAAATAATTATGTGGTAATTCAAAATAATAATAACAAAAACAGATTAGAGGATAGTAGTCATCGTTTATCTCCTAGAGCGAAAATATAAAGCCGCTCTTTAATCCGGTTCAAATAAAGGATTCTTCGATATCAAATTGAAAAGCTAACATTTATTGTCACCGGACAAACTCTAAACTGCATGATCATTTTCTGATGACCAATCCTCCTTGGTGCTCCGAATTTACCAATTGAAATGCAGTAATAGATTAGCAGCTAAGGATTCTTATTTTATAGTTGAAACTGTTAGATGTAACAGGATGTTCTATGCACAGACTTTTGCCATTCGTAATACAGTGAAACTCTATTCTTACTTCCAAACAGATTTACAGTTCAAAGTTAATCGTTATCCTCTGCCCTCTTAATCCCTGTTTGTATTGTTCTCTCTCCTTAATCAAGTTTTTCATTTTTCATATTCTTTCACACTCAGTAACCACTTATGTCGCAGTAAGCAGGAAATTAATATATATATATATATATATATATATATATATATATATATATATATATATATATATATATATATATAAAAGTGAATATTGAAGTCAACACTCAGTGGCAACAGGATGTGTCAGGCTGGACGCAATCGTCAGGCCACGAATGCTGGATTTTTCCTCGGTTATATATATATATATATATATATATATATATATATATATATATAGGTCAGTTGTGCATTGTGGTTTACTGACCCATATATATAAATAGCCGAGGAAAAATTCAGCGTTAAACAGCCTGTTGCCTCTTCAGTGTTCACATTTATATTTATATACGCTCTATCTCTGATATTTATCCCATAAATATAGCACACGCATATTTCTGTATATATATATATATATATATATATATATATATATATATATATATAATGGACTAAGTCTTACAATCTTTTAAATATATTTTCTGTTCATAAGTTATTTTTATAGATAAAATTATTTAAGTAAATGCTCTGTTTATAATAAACAGTATTAACTACATTTGCCTGTCTGCATGTCCGAAAAAAATCATAGAAAGTATGTTCCCTACGACAGGAATCGAACCTGCATCCTACACGGAACCCTCATATAGCCGGACGTGATATACCATTTAGCTACATTTAGCATAGTCAAATGAGCGTTCAAGAAAAATCATATGAAATTTTTTGTTTAAAAACACTAATTTTATACGTAAATATTTTTATATAAACAGAAAAAAAAAATATATATATATATCCGCTACTCATAGTTTCATGCTTTTAACTTATTTTAAGCTTTATGCTTCTATTCTTACTACTATTTATATATACGTGTCAGTGTAGACAAGAATGCCCGGGTGCTGTTTGTCCAGTATTTATATAGTTTTACATTCACCGGGTTTTCATCCGGTGAACTACTAGAAATTGGTCCCGTCTCTTTGGTCGTCCTCTTCTCTCTACCAAGTCCTCCATTCAATATTTTTTCCTTAGACAATGACCAAATGGTACTAGGATTTATTAGAGAGTGCGCTCGCTAATACTAGGCATTACTAAAGTACAAGACAAGACGTGCCAAGACATGGTGAGAAGAAACAGAACAATATACCTACGTAGATTAAATAAAATGTTAAGTTCACTGAAGGCTATCCGAAGGGTGGTGAAATCTGAGCAGCGCAACTACCAAAAACTTGTGGTGACAAGAACGAAATGAGGAAAAATGTCGGTGTATAATTGGCTATAAATAATCATAATTTATCATTCAAAAAAATTCCAAGAGTAAACAGGGTTTGTTTTTAAAAAGTATTGTAACATGGTGGAAAATCTTAATACTTCAATGATTTTCTTTGTTTATTCTGCAGTGGCGTCATTTGAAGTAAAATTCTTGTAGTATAAAGTTCTCTAACAGAGACGACAACGCGATATCAGTTTGACTTTATCATCTCATTTTCCCTTAAATGACATCAGGATTTTGTGTCAGAGAATGAACAGAAAACGGTCGATAAATAATATGGAATATTTCTTTAGAGATATGGTGCCACTATTCATCTCTTTTTAAGAAAAAACAAGAGAAAATCCCCATAAATTACAAATAGTTCCTTTTCAGTTGTATTCGATAACATGTAGAAATGAAAAATTTGCCATATATATATATATATATATATATATATGCATATATATATATATATATATATATATATATATATATATATATATATATAGATAGATAGATAGATATAGATGTGTGTGTGTGTATGTATGTGTGTGTTTTTGTGTTAGCTTAACATTTGATTGATCGGTGGATATTTTCTAGAATGAGAATATGTTTAATGACCTTTAAGAAGAGTGCTAATATATGGTTACACATTGTTGACATTTAGTCGTAAATCACTAATTTCTCCGATTTTTTTGGGGGGGGTCTTTTTTGTTGCTATTGCATTTACATGGTTAATACGGTGCTATTTGTTTCACACTAGAATTCTTGCCTTTTGTGCCAAGATCTCAATCGACCCAGTAATCAAAACCCTTGTGACTTCCGACCTTTTAAAATGTCTCGTCGACACTGGGAAATCGATATCGAACTCTTCGGGAAAACCTGTTATAAAGAAATCTGTGTTTGACGTTTCTCTCAACATCTTTTTGTTCGTTCTACAAACACACCGACATAACTCGGTAGGTATGCTTTCATATGTACACACTAAAACAGAATTAATCTATCTATCTATCTATCTATCTATCTATCTATCTATCTATCTATCTATCTATCTATATATATATACATATATATAAATAAATCTCTCTCTCTCTCTCTCTATATATATATATATATATATATATATATATATATATATATATATATATTTCAGAAGAATAACTGGATGTGAACACTTCATATTGGAGCCGCACCCTGAGAGAATTATCTGTCTATTTACCACTCAAAAAGAATTTTACCCAGCTCCTTGAAATTACAGCCTGCATCTAAGCACAATGTTATTTTTTTTCTTCTTAGATTGAAAACCACGCCTGGTGAAGTATATATATATATATATATATATATATATATATATATATATATATATATATATATATATATATATATATATGTGTGTGTGTTGTTATTAATCTGTGTTAATTGAAATCATATGTGTATCATGTGAGTGAATTGCATATGCCGTTAGGGAATTGTGTTAATAGATTTCTGTTTTGGAAACAAAGGAATCTTTGTTATCAAAACAGAAATCTTTTATTTGAATTCAAGTTCGAATTGTGGTATCTTCATATTTTTTTGAGTCAAGGATTGACTGCAGAATGCCTATAAATATGATCAACCTGGTCGTGAAATTGCTGATCCTGCGATATGTGATATTTTCCTGTTTTTGTTAAAACATGTTTACATCTAACCAGACATCTTACACATTGCTACTCTTATTCACTTTACATATATGACTGTTCGACTTTTCTATCTGTGATCAAAAACTAATATTCATGTTCAATATTTAGGAGATGGAAATCAGCCCCACATTCGGAATGTGAAAAATAAAATTAAATATAAAGATATTGGACAAAGCGATGGAGGTGTAATTCGGTGAACTACATAGAAATGGAAAAAAAACTGAATAAAAACTTTAATAAAGAATGAAAAGCACACTGAACAATAGGGAAAATATATTTCCTCTCTAAAGATTTAGCGTGAAGAATTATTATTATTTCAGTTATTTGTACCAGGACTATTGTCGTCATCTTTGTTGTTATTATCAATAAGAATTTTAATCATGTTTATTTCTTTATTTTGTTTGTTTTACGGTATATCAACTCATTCTATAATTTAATGTCGACATTTAACGTTTTTCTATATAAAGCCTCGTATTTAAACAGACGTTAATTTTTTTATTTTGAACTGTAAGACTACTGTTCTAGGTATACACTTTAATTATATTTTTAAGATCAGTTTAATTTCTTTTGGAAACTAGAATATGTAAAGTGAATAAATATTTTGAAAAAGTTCTTTTATGTTTGTTTTTTGGTCGTATTTTAAGCGGATTGTATTAAAATTGCTGTAGTTTGTCAGTTTTTATTTTATGGTGAATGGTATTTAGCATGTCATATGTACCGGAGGATCTTCCTTTTTTAGGATATACGAATTAACATATAATTAATATATATATATATATATATATATATATATATATATATATATATATATATATATATATATAGCATGTGTCACATCTTCGCAGTGTTTCATTGGTCCCTGATTGGTGCAACGTTTTGTCTTTAATCACATCGGTATAATAAATCGGGTGTAGTTGGTGATACTCATCTCGTTTTAAATAATAATAATCGACATATACAATTTAGGAAGACGGTAGAAATATCAAAGTATTACTGTGGTTGACGTCATGTACCCTGACGATGAGACAGAATACAGCGAAAGATTGCTTCATGCATAATTGATCTGAATAATTCACCAGTAGTTCCAGCTGGAAATTGAAACCGGTTCGGGGATTCTATTCTCAGTAATTAAAAACCGTCACGTCATGTCCCAACCTGGCAAATAGTAAATCGATTACCCATAGAAAAATTATGATTGATTTGATTAAGGCAAATAAGCGAACACGGTGAATATTTAAATTTCATGGATATAAACTTCTTCACAGATCGAAAAGTAGCATTCTAACACTTGTATACAAAATAAAAGTGTTCATTTTCGTCTTTACCCTTACTAATATAGGGATAACTGCTTATTGCTTCTATTTCCATAGGAAATATGATGCTTTTTGGCGTCTGCCTTCTCGACGTGTTCAAATATCTACTCATTTATTTGTTAGTCATCCTGACATACCAGTAACGAGAGATTTTCGATATGTATCTAACGATGAAGTATTTTTATAGTTTTCCAAGACGGTTAGTGTTAAATATAAACATTACGGCAATATATCTTTAAAAAATAAATACGCAATACTTGATAAAGTCGCTTGAAAATAGTAATATATACAAATCCTGTTCTTATGTAGACTTGTCTAGTACGGATGACATTTGTCCTGTCCCACACGTTCAACAAAAATGAAAAACTATCATCTATTATCAAACGACAGACGAATGTTTTAAACACTTCTTTAGCAGACCCCATAAAATGACACAAGAAGGTAAATTGTGGCTCGGATTGAGGAATCAGGGAGTCGAGTTTGAACTCTAGTTGGGTTTATTACATTCAGTTACATGCAAAAACACTTGGGAAAGGTATGAATCCAAGTCTTCTCTCCCAAGATATGGGTAAATAGTAGGACAGATTTGGTTCTATAGCCTTGGTTGGCAACCAGTAGAGGAGAAGGAAAACTCTGAATTCAAACTGTATGTTGACCAGGTGAATCACAAACTATGTAGCTAAGAAAATGATCTCGACTATAGTCAAATAAAGAACTTTACCAAATAATTAAAACTCCACCATTTGTACACTTCTCATGAGTAACAACAAAAATGGTTAGCACATTAATTGAATATAATGACATAATGAAGATGTTGATCTTCTACACTATATTAAACAAAAAAGTTTGGACGGAATCTTCCTTTCAATACTTGAAAGAACAATCACAGTTGCTGAACTCGAGAAGAATAATTAACTGAAAAGAAAAACTATTTTAAGAAAAAAGATTTCATATATTTAACCTTTTTGGTCAATGAATGAAAAATGTTTCCTTATAAGGAAATGGATAACTCATCATTAAAACTACTATAGCTCAATATTGGTCGTTTAAATCTTAATATCTTCGTAGATAATTTTGTTGTTAACATTATACAGTTTGAAAATAAAATTCCAACACGTACAGTATATATATATATATATATATATATATATATATATATATATATATATATATATATATTGCAATTGACTCAAGTTTAAATCTATAGATAATAACGTTGGTATAACTGATCAAATTTGTGTGTAAAGATTACAGAGAATAAATGGTTATATTAAAGATACCTAGACTCTATGATTGTTTATGTTCTCGTTTAGAATTTACACAGGTCATTACTAAAGCGAACAGTTCTCGAATGATCTTCTGTAATGCATGATTTTACGCCTCTTTCGTTATGTCATATTATATCGCCAAAGTTTTAGGTTGGCTACTTGAACAAATCATTCATTGTACCATCCAGTTGCGTACGTGTTCAATGGGAGACAGGATTCGTGATCGCGTCGGCCATGATAGTTCAAAACTGGAGGGTGTCTTTAATGATGGAGAATACGTGACGAAAAGAAAAAAAAACTCCTACAATTCTACCCATTGCCTTTACAATATATTTGATTTAGTCACTTACAAAACTACAAGACATATGAACAAGAAATGGTCAGTATAGGCAGTATCCTACAACGTAACAACTACCCTGGGTGCATAACAGCAGCTCCGACAAACTGAGAAGGGTAAAAAGAGGATAACAACACCCAGAAAAGAGCTTACGCTCTGCTTACCCTATGAGAAGGGAATATCGGAGAAAATACAAAAGATCTGTGGTCAAGATAATATCAGGACAATCTTCAAAGGTGTTTCAAAACTTCGCAGACACATCTTCCGGGTAAGACCTCCCCCCATAGAGGAGAACACGACAAAGAACTGTGTGTACGCAATCCCGTGCAGCTGTGGTAAGACTGCAATAACATAGTAAAACGGTAACACGAGGGGAAATAGAAAAATCAGGCCTAGCTGACCCCATATGGATTTATTTATTCGCTTTATTACCCGAGAAAGACAATGTCTTCTTCGAAAACAATGCTTAAACTATTTTTATATTGGACCACAAATTTTATGGAGATCAAACACTAGACGCAAGCAGAGTAATGATTTTCAACTGTGGCCACATCTATGTGTGAGACAAAGCATTTTTTGTGCAACCAGTCGCAAATATTCATGCACGAAGACAGATTCAGAAATTCAGTCAATAATAGCGGAATAATACAGTCGAATAATAGTGTTTTGTAGCTATTTTTTATTCAGTAATTCGTTTTCGACTGTTTATCAACCTTTTCAGGTTATTTAAAGCCAGAAAATACCCTTAAGATTGTAAGAAGTTTTTGGTTATAACAGGTGTTCAATGAGAGACAGCACTTGTGATCATGTTAGCGATAGAAGTTATCATTTGGAGGGTGTCGCTAATGATCGAGTACACGTGACGAAAAGAAAAAAATCACCTAAAATTCCACCCATTACCTTTACAATATATTTGGTTTAGTCACTCACAAAATTACAAGAGTAAAGAATTCAATGAATTTCAAAGTAGGTCTCCTTAGAATGTTCTCTGAGACTTTTTTTTATCTGTTTTAACAACAGTCGATTTTTCTTTTAATTAAGTGTAATTAATATTCCAATAAAAAAGCTGATGAAACACTTATAAAGGTGCCACTAAAAACCGTTAGATTTTATCTGAATATTAAGCTATGGATGGAAAATCAAACCAAGAGTAAATTAAAAGGAGTCAACAGAATATGTATAATGACAAAGAATCTCTAGTGGTCTGATAATTAAAGTATGGGATTGATGACGAATGTACTTCTGATTACACCGGGCAGACCGTCATCACTGATCAGTTCCAGACATCAGCGCAAACGAGAGATTCACAAAACATTAAATTATACATTCCATTAGCATCTAATTTTTCTGAGTTGAATATATCATCATACGGTGTGCGCGTGAAGGAAAAAATATTTTCTGTATGAGAAAAATAGATGAAAATAGAACAAAAAGAAGACAACAAATTAATATATATATATATAAATATATATATATATA